CAATTAAAGGTATGTGATTATCCGCGTGATTTTTGGAATGTTATTTGCTTTAATTCAATTGGTGTTTATGTTGCTTGAAAGTCTGCATTAGAAAATTTATTTTAGAAACGGTTTTTGATTGAACAACTTGTACAAAAAAATAACCTGTAACTGCGCGCCGTCACTGCACGTGATAACACATATTCTATAGATGGGCAAAATTATTAAGAAAATAATACCTCTTCTACATTTACGGAAAGCGAGGCGACTCATAACAGGTCAAACCCGCAGTTAGAGTTATATAACACGGATAATTACCTCCGTTGTTTCTGGGGAAGTGTTGTATTATCCTTTATTTTATCTATAACGTAATGCATGCTTCTTGTTATATAATTCAGATGAATTATTTTCGCTGCTAATTGCCAATATCCCAATACATGAATCGTTACATAGCACGACAAAAAATCATGTGGCCGTTTTATATATAAATATTTATGGCATTGTCATATGTCGAATATTCTCAGTCATGTGATAGTCTAGTTACCATTTTCCGGGAAGATGATGAGTCCAAGCATAAATTTTCTGTGGAATATTGGAACATTGTTTAGCGGAGTATTTCAATAAAACCTAATATTCCTTGAGGAATTTTGAATTGTACAAGTCACGAAGTCAATGAAGTCAAAATCATTATAAAATTGGCATTTTGCAATATAGCCTGAGGTAAAACATAGTTTTGAATATATCATCTGAAGGCCTTAAATAACTGTACATTATTTACATTTGTCTTGCGTTCACATTATCTACAAAATACAAACAGTGCTATCGTAACGCGTATGTTTCGTCTATTTATTGATCATATGCTGAACAAAATTACAATAATTTGGACAAAAAATAAATAGCTGTAAAAACACTGTGACAACACTATATATTACTATATATTAACAACGCATAACTGAAGTAGTCCAAACAGTATACACTATTACACCTATATTAGTCCTTTTACCTTTTCTCCACACAAGTAATTATCATCCCTTATGTGTCGAGTATTTCTTACTTCCCAATCGTTTATTTTCGGGGTTTTCTGTCAGCGTTCAAGGGGCGATAACATATACACAACAACAATCCTCCCGTCCACAGACGCAGCGATTAGGGTATGTCCTGTCAGGTCCGGTAAATCGGTCACCATTGACAATAAACCATGGGAACATGTCGATTATCCCCCCGTCCACGAAGGCAGCGATTAGGGTATGTCCTGTCAGTTCCGGTAAATCGGTCACCATCGACATTAAACCCTGGTAACATGTTGCTTATCCTCCCGTCCACGGAGGAAGCGGTTAGGGTCAAAATCACTGAAGAAACAGAAGGGAATGTACATAAAACCCCATAAAAACTGGTTAATTCCCAATATAAAGAGGAACTTTGAAGACTGAAGTTTATAGTAGGAACTTTGTTCCGATGTTCACCGTAACATCTCTTCCTTATTCATGTGTTGCCATATTTTTATCACTTTGTAGGTCTAGTTATTGTTTTATTGACACATCTGTGTTATTTTGTTGTTCTACTGAAGCCTTAGTGCTGTTGTCAATAGGAAGCCTATACAAAAACTCTGGAACAGCTGAATTACAATGACAGACAAGTCATGTGAGACATGCTATAGTAACGTCGTTATTACCAAGCATCCTCTAGTAACGTCTCGGCTACCAAGCATTCTCTAGTAAGTCTCTATTACCAAGCATTCTCTAGTACCGCCTTGGTTACCCGGCATGCTATAGTAACGTCTTTATTACCCAGCATCCTCTAGTACAGCTTGATTTCACAGCTGTGATGTGTAATGAGTGATGTAAGTTCACACGGCCGTGGACATCGTCAGTGTTAACGATATGTACACGTCATGTGAGACATTTCCGACCTTTATAAATAGCGTGATTTATAATGCCGTGCGTCTCTGTCTGTACTTGACATCAGGGAACCGGACATAACTGACCATCACTGACCACAGTGGGCTTTTATCATGGCCTTTACACAGTTTTACTCCTGTCAGCCTAACATGGCTAACAAATGGGAAGACGTCTCCATTACTGGACCTGAGATATAAGTTTTATTAACAGGAACGGGATGTTATTAATATGTGTGTGTCAACGTGGGCAACGTTGATGTTAATCCCACTGTGTAGCTTTCAGCCATGTGAAGTGAACGCTGAAAATGTGGTTTTATATGAATTTTATGTCCTTTGTTCAGTGGTAAATTGTTATTACAATTCGACGATGCTTCTACGATACTTCGATGTTATACATCTTTTTAAGACGTCAGTTTTACAAAGAGAAATTTAATTAATTAAGAAACTTTAAATTCTGCACGATATCGGGTATTATAACAATAATCTCGGTTTCTACAGTAACAAAACAAACTAATAATCAATATATATATTATTTTTTTAATGAAACATTCAATACAATCACAATATATACAAAGAAACATTCGATACAAGTATTAAACATTCGATACAAGTATAAAACATTCAATACAAGTATAAAACATTCGATACCAGTACAATATAAACAAAGAAACAGCCGATACAAGTATTAAACATTCAAAACAAGTATAAAACATTCGATACAAGTACAATATAAACAAAGAAACATTCGATACAAGTATTAAACATTTGATACAAGTACAATATAAAAAAAGAAACATCCGATACAAGTATTAAACATTCGATACAAGTATAAAACAGTCAATACAAGTATAAAACATTCAATAAAAGTACAAAATAAACAAGAAACATCCGATACAAGTATTAAACATTCGATACAAGCATAAAAAAGCATTCAATACAAGTATAAAACATTCGATACAAGTACAATATAAACAAAGAAACATCCGATACAAGCATAAAACATTCAATACAAGTATAAAACATTCGATACAGGTATAAAACATTCAATACATGTATAAAAAAGCATTCAATACAAGTATAAAACATTCGATACAGGTATAAAACATTCAATACAAGTATAAAAACAGCATTCAATACAAGTATTAAACATTCGATACAAGTAAAAAAAAAACATTCAATACAAGTATAAAAAAGCATTCAATACAAGTATTAAACATGTAACACAAGTATAAAAAAATCGATATAAGTGGTCACATCTTTAAGCTCTCTTCAAACGATATCGATTTTTTTCTTTCTCTCAACTTTACATTGATACTCCACTTTTGAGCGCGCCCCAAGGTGGCCTCTTTATAGAAATTGGACAGCATTCGATACAATAATATTGTTAACAATTAATCATTTGATGCAAACACCATGTTAACAATATAATATTCTATTGAAGTTCATTGTAAACAACGACGTTTTTTATATGGCGAATTATATATTCTGTTTCACTTTATTGCAAACACTTACTTTTTAATATGGTCACATTGTACATATTGAAATATTTTATTCCTCTAAGCTTACTTTTGTTGCGATATAACAATTTCTTATGGAGCCACATTGTAAACAATGGAATATTCAACAACAATGACAATGCAATAAATAATATTTACAAACCTCCATTTCTACTGTTAACAGAACAAACAAAGTAACATAATAGATAAGAAATAAGTTCCCATGACAACGGCGATCTGCCGATGATAGGAAAAAACAGTTCTATTTCATTTTACAAAACAGTTGATGCACTTTTCTCCGGTGTAACATATTGTTCTGCTCTGGGGCTTAGACAAGGGAACTCCCCAGTCACATATTTAGCGTGACGCCATACCCACAATGCACTGACGTCACTTTTTCAACCGCACGTCAGCAATACACTAACACTATAACATCATCATTGCATTATAGCTGTGAGCGAATCAAAAGGGAAAGAGAAAAAAAGTGTCATTCACCGCCTTGGAATGAGATGGGACATCCCATCTTTCGGGGGGAAATTATTTTAAGCCTCGTGTTTGGCAACTTAAGGATTCCCTCGGGTTGATATCCTACCATCTCACTCCAATGGGGTGAACGATTCTACTCTTCTTACACATGTGTCAACATTTAGTTAAGATAAGCAATGAAGAATAAGGACAGTTATGATTTATGAATATACCGTTATAATGTTACTGACACACATCAACATTACCGATTTAGGATTGTACGCGTTACACTACAAGGCAGTAGTGTAAATCAATAAATATATTTTATAAAAGCATCCTTTCGAAAATAAAATCTCCAGCGCAGTTGTCGCGATGATTTGTATTCGCAAAATAGACAATAACCGATTTATGGATGCAGGTGATAAATAAGCGATATTTTATCGGAGAATGATGGACACGCCCTCACTGATGAGTGTACCTTTTAACAATTTGGCAATATATACAATATGCTAAATACTAATTACGCGGCATCATACAGCTGCTTCAAAGGATAGAGCGCAACTGATTACAAATAACAGCCAAACAAGGACTTCCAATATTTTTGAATTAAAATAACCCCACACTTACATTTGAGAGTGAAATTATAAACAACCATAATTTCCAATTTTTCGAAATATTTATAATTCTTACTCTACTGACAAACAAGGCACATGTCCTACAGAAATTACGTTTTATCTTTAATGGGAACGTGGGGAGCCCCTACACACATGATCAAAAATGTCTTGACACATATCCAATTGAAATTACGTATTTAATTGGAACTTGGGCCTCGAGCCCCTCCACATATTATCAAAAATGTCTGAACACATATCCAATTGAAATTATGTATTTAATTGGAAGTGGGGCCTCGAGCCCCTCCACATATTATCAAAGACAGTTAACTTCTTACTAGTACGCGAGCAGCAATGCATTGGGAAAATAATAGCTACATTTACATACTGTTAATTTGAATTTTTTTCAGCGATTTAATGGAAAGGACCTTCCGAATATCCACGTAGACACAGTAAACAATGACAGTTGACTACTGTATACCGGGGAACTGTCGCCCAGTCAAATTGTCACATTTTTCCGATAAACTCATGTTCCCCTAGTGTTAATTTTGCCCGTAGCATGTAACAACTATATATTATATGATGCGTACTACACTTTGCTGTCATGATACATTAGCCCTTGTTGGAGAGGGCGAAAAAGGCGAAAATCAAACAACGGCGAATATTCCCTGGTATACAGTATTCCGTTTTCTTTTATGAACAGAGGAAGTCGATAGAAGAATCTATTGGTCGATTTTTAAAAAGTTTATTCTATAAATTGGAAATCTCCCGGATCATCTACCGACGGTCCCTGTCTTTGGCAGGTTAATTCCCAAATCCTTCAGTAATTTTGTTAACTCCTGAATATCATGCAGCGGTGATTTCTCCTTCTCTGGTGGGTCCTCCCCTGACAACAGGTACGGGTTTACTGTTGGCAGTGATGGCACGGTACTCGCTTTGCTGGTGGTGGCGCGAAGGCTCGGTGAACTGTTCTGACTAGTGTTTATCACCACCTGTGTCTGTCCTCCTGGTTTCTTTATTTCCTGTACCTGTATCTGACCGCCAGCTTCTATGACAAGAGGCTGGCCATGTTGCTGACCAGGTGTCTGTAGAATAAGGTTATGACCTGGAAGCGAGTTTGCAAAATTGCTGGACGACGGATTTCCAAACGCGGGACTGAACGATCCTCTTTCGTTAGAACTAGAAGGAGCCATTACGGAGCTTGAGGAAGATCTAACACCTGAAAATGGTGACTGATTCTGCGATTGTGGTGCATTTATTCCTAGAAGATGTGACATAATCAGTCTTTGATTTGACATCCTCTGTTCACGAGGCATATCCATCCCCAGTAAGGCCGACAGGAGTATAGCGTTGCTAAGGTTATTAATGCTGCTGATCTGTTGTCCTTGACCTGAGGAGCTGCCCTGATTGTTTTGGGGCATGTTACTTTGACGGGAGGAGCTCTGTCCTGATATTTGCCGAGTGGGGGATGACCGCGACCTACTCCTGCTCCTGACTGGTATGGAGCGTACAGACTGACGCCGGTCATTGAACGTTCTTGAGAACTAAAAATATCAAATGAATGATAGAAATTAGGCCAGCAAAGCAATATACAAACGGTGTATGTACATATGTCAATCTGAAAATATGCATGAGTAAATTAACGAATCAATATTAGGTTTTACATCCAATAACTAACTATGGTCATTCACGGACGTGCTAGGTTTCGGTATGAACCCATTATTTGAATTTTAAACACATTTGCAATTTCAATTCAATAAAGAAACGTTTTCAGTTATTTCATTATAATATCTGACGATGCGAAAAAATATATTAAGCAGAAATATTTGATACTCTAAGCAATGAAATGGTATATTATCTTTCTGTATAATTATAAATGTGGGTCTCGGGGAAAGTTTGTTTGTCTGGGTATGTGTTTGGGGGGGGGGGCGCGTGTGTGTGTGTGTGTGTGTGTAAGTAGTACAATAGCTCATGACGTGTCAGCTGAAATAGAATGGCACTGTTGCGGTTGTGTGTTAATACACGAAGGAACAGTGTATCAATAATTGTCAATATATTGTGTAGCATCACCGATCAATCACTACATCTATGTGTATATATAAATATATAGAACAGTGTACGTACGTAAACGTACGAGGTCACGTGATTAAGCCAGTTGTCCAATAAGTCATATACCTTGTATAAGTGCATTTTTATTTTTTATTCTGTCAATTAAGATGATGTTTATCAATATTTGGTTATAGCTCACGGTCGTATTTCATAAAGAAATATGACAACTATGTATTTACTTAATGTCAGCGACACGTGCAATATGATATTGTATAACATTAATTACTTAAACGCAATTTTATACAAAAGTTTTATTTCATATTTCAGACTTCATTTATCGATAACAAAGGGAACTGTATGACCACATCACAGTTAGAATTGTCTGTGAATAATATGTGTAGTTTGAAGTGGAATATTGTGGTGATATTTAAAATTCATGATGTACAAGCAATTTATATTGACGCCTTCTCGCGTCCATCACGATACAGTCTTCCAAAATCAGTTAGGAAGCATATGCTCTACGTGACGTATTGCAGCGTCAAATACTGTTGTCGTGTCACATTGTGGTTATCGTGGTGACGTAGATGGGTGAGTACAACACATCGTCATCAGCCTTTTTATTATCGTTTTTACACATCAACCTTTTTAGAACAACGTTTTATCTAAAGTGCGTCACTATTTAACTTTTTAACAATTAAAGGTATGTGATTATCCGCGTGATTTTTGGAATGTTATTTGCTTTAATTCAATTGGTGTTTATGTTGCTTGAAAGTCTGCATTAGAAAATTTATTTTAGAAACGGTTTTTGATTGAACAACTTGTACAAAAAAAATAACCTGTAACTGCGCGCCGTCACTGCACGTGATAACACATATTCTATAGATGGGCAAAATTATTAAGAAAATAATACCTCTTCTACATTTACGGAAAGCGAGGCGACTCATAACAGGTCAAACCCGCAGTTAGAGTTATATAACACGGATAATTACCTCCGTTGTTTCTGGGGAAGTGTTGCATTATCCTTTATTTTATCTATAACGTAATGCATGCTTCTTGTTATATAATTCAGATGAATTATTTTCGCTGCTAATTGCCAATATCCCAATACATGAATCGTTACATAGCACGACAAAAAATCATGTGGCCGTTTTATATATAAATATTTATGGCATTGTCATATGTCGAATATTCTCAGTCATGTGATAGTCTAGTTACCATTTTCCGGGAAGATGATGAGTCCAAGCATAAATTTTCTGTGGAATATTGGAACATTGTTCAGCGGAGTATTTCATTAAAACCAAATATTCCTTAAGGAATTTTGAATTGTACAAGTCACGAAGTCAATGAAGTCAAAATCATTATAAAATTGGCATTTTGCAATATAGCCTGAGGTAAAACATAGTTTTGAATATATCATCTGAAGGCCTTAAATAACTGTACATTATTTACATTTGTCTTGCGTTCACATTATCTACAAAATACAAACAGTGCTATCGTAAGACGTATGTTTCGTCTATTTATTGATCATATGCTGAACAAAATTACAATAATTTGGACAAAAAATAAATAGCTGTAAAAACAAACTGTGACAACACTATATAATACCCTTCGTTTCATTGCCCCCTCCTTTACTATCATTATATTTTATTGTCCCTGTTTTTGTTTTCTTAATAATTCCTTTATACATTTCCCTTAATCTAACGCAAAACCCCTTTATAACGCGACATTTTCTCTGGACAGATAGTGACATTTTAACGAGGTTGTACTGTATATTAGCGTAATACAGGCAAACAATCTGGGAATTTCCCCTAGTTCAGCCTCCTGCTATATATATTTATCTGTTAGAACGACACCCTTTTTATTACTTGAGGAGAACCTTGACATGTTTTATGTCGAGATGGCCCACATCGCGACGTTGATGGACAAGTACGATATGTAAATATATATATATATATATATATATATATATATATATATAAAGCTTATGGGGCAAAGAGGTAATTCCAACAGTGTGGACAAGTTTAGGTTGTCAAATTGCGGAGCAATCCGCTCCTTTTTCAAGACACAGTGAAACAGAACAGTTACATGTACATATACATCATATTACAAGAAGATAGAACTAATATACTATATTCAATCCAATTGATTACGACATCTTGTCAATAAAATTTGATGAAATGAAATATACTATAATTGAAAATATAGCTATTATATAAAACCAATAGTCCCCTCGGCTAAAGACAGCCGAAGGCAGCAATTAAGCTGAGAGCGTCTCGGACAAGGAACGCTGATGTAGAGGACCTATTCTCGCGCATATTCTTGGACCTATTCTTGCTTTCTATATAAAGCTTAGATATATGTTAACCAGAACAGCGTTTTAATACTGCAGTTAAACGGGATAAACTTACCTATTGCTGGGAAAACATAACAATGATATACATTGTCGATTAAACGGCAAAAATGGTTTTCATCTCTACGTCTCGGTATAAAATTAACTCAGTGTCTTCATATAATCCTTATTAACATTTTAGAGGAAGATGCCAAGATAGGTAGAGCCCCTGTCAAAGATAATGCTTCCAAGATCCCAGTTGAGTTAAAACTAACTTTTATCGACATTCCATCAAAATTATATCATCCGACAGAAAATACATACTACTTGTTGTTGTTTTTTGGGTTTTTTTGTGGGATCAGCACTTTATGATAACTAGGGCCGGGTTGTGGTACTGGGATCAGCACTTTACGATAACTAGGGCCGGGCTGTGGTACTCTCAGCACTTTATGATAACTAGGGCCTGGCTGTGGTACTGGGATCAGCACTTTACGATAACTAGGGCCTGGCTGTGGTACTCTCAGCATTTTATGATAACTAGGGCCTGGCTGTGGTACTGGAATCAGCACTTTATGATAACTAGGGCCTGGCTGTGGTACTGGGATCAGCACTTTATGACAACTAGGGCCGGGCTGTGGTAATCTCAGCACTTTACGATAACTAGGGCCGGGCTGTGGTACTCTCAGCACTTTACGATAACTAGGGCCTGGCTGTGGTATTGGGATCAGCACTTTATGATAACTAGGGCCGGGCTGTGGTACTCTCAGCACTTTACGATAACTAGGGCCGGGCTGTGGTACTCTCAGCACTTTATGATAACTAGGGCCGGGCTGTGGTACTGGGATCAGCACTTTATCATAACTAGGGCCGGGCTGTGGTACTCTCAGCACTTTGCGATAACTAGGGCCGGGCTGTGGTACTCTCAGCACTTTACGATAACTAGGGCCGGGCTGTGGTACTCTCAGCACTTTACGATAACTAGGGCCGGGCTGTGGTACTCTCAGCACTTTACGATAACTAGGGCCGGGCTGTGGTACTCTCAGCACTTTACGATAACTAGGGCCGGGCTGTGGTACTCTCAGCACTTTACGATAACTAGGGCCGGGCTGTGGTACTCTCAGCACTTTACGATAACTAGGGCCGGGCTGTGGTACTCTCAGCACTTTACGATAACTAGGGCCGGGCTGTGGTACTCTCAGCACTTTACGATAACTAGGGCCGGGCTGTGGTACTCTCAGCACTTTACGATAACTAGGGCCGGGCTGTGGTACTCTCAGCACTTTACGATAACTAGGGCCGGGCTGTGGTACTCTCAGCACTTTACGATAACTAGGGCCGGGCTGTGGTACTCTCAGCACTTTACGATAACTAGGGCCGGGCTGTGGTACTCTCAGCACTTTACGATAACTAGGGCCGGGCTGTGGTACTCTCAGCACTTTACGATAACTAGGGCCGGGCTGTGGTACTCTCAGCACTTTACGATAACTAGGGCCGGGCTGTGGTACTCTCAGCACTTTACGATAACTAGGGCCGGGCTGTGGTACTCTCAGCACTTTACGATAACTAGGGCCGGGCTGTGGTACTCTCAGCACTTTACGATAACTAGGGCCGGGCTGTGGTACTCTCAGCACTTTACGATAACTAGGGCCGGGCTGTGGTACTCTCAGCACTTTACGATAACTAGGGCCGGGCTGTGGTACTCTCAGCACTTTACGATAACTAGGGCCGGGCTGTGGTACTCTCAGCACTTTATGATAACTAGGGCCTGGCTGTGGTACTGGGATCAGCGCTTTACGATAACTAGGGCCGGGCTGTGGTACTCTCAGCACTTTATGATAACTAGGGCCGGGCTGTGGTACTGGGATCAGCACTTTATCATAACTAGGGCCGGGCTGTGGTACTCTCAGCACTTTGCGATAACTAGGGCCGGGCTGTGGTACTCTCAGCACTTTACGATAACTAGGGCCGGGCTGTGGTACTCTCAGCACTTTACGATAACTAGGGCCGGGCTGTGGTACTCTCAGCACTTTACGATAACTAGGGCCGGGCTGTGGTACTCTCAGCACTTTACGATAACTAGGGCCGGGCTGTGGTACTCTCAGCACTTTACGATAACTAGGGCCGGGCTGTGGTACTCTCAGCACTTTACGATAACTAGGGCCGGGC